TTACCCTGCCTCTCTTGGGGAGACTCGTGCCCATGTTGTGTGAACAACTCTGCGCGAGCACCTAAGGCGGCTTACCTCCTTACCGGCCCGTGGTGGCGCGTACGTATCTCTATTGAGATGTACGAAGGGATTGACAACCTGAAATCCCTTTACGACCGTGCCGGGAAGACTTTCTCCGGCGGTCCTTCTGCGGCACAGGATGTGCCGCGTCGTACTGCTCAACCAGACCCAGTACGTCGATCATCAGTTGGGAGCGGGGCTCCCAAGAATCCCAGAACGGGGGATAGCCGCGCCACCGGACGAGATAACTCGTCCGACGCCCGTTCACGTCGCGGTGGTTCAACAGCTGCTCAACTAGATAGCGCTGGCCACCGCGAGAGTCCTCTAATGGAGGTGGAGGAGGAGGAAAGACGCTCTCCACACGACCATGTGGATCGGTGTGTTCCCGAGAGCTTCTTTGATCGCGTAACGCAAGGGTTACGCGACGATCTCGAACATGAGCGGAATAGGCGTCTCCAAATGGCGGACACTGCCTCGAAGCATCGAGCTGAGTTTGCCTTTGCTCAGCTCGAGAACGAGAGATCTCTGACATCTCTTCGTGACGAGCTAAGGGTAGCTCGTGGGATTGTTGATCGGTCTCGGGCTGAGATAACTGCTCTTCAGACCCTTGTTGATGCCCACCATCGGGAGCACAAGGCTCTCTGCGAGATGCTTGAGCGCAAGGGCGTTCTTCATCGGAAGAAGCAGCGTACTGATGGTACGGCTTAAGCCGACCAACGTAAAACGTGTGATGCGTTCGCATCTTACGTGGTAACTCGATCGTGTATGCATTGCCTAGGCGGTGCAATACACGAAATGGGCCGATGTACTTGGGTAGTAGTTTACTGCTACCCAAGTTAGTCACTACATGCTTTGGTAGATTAACCGTAGACAGTAGGACTAAGTCACCTTCATTAAATAAAAGAGTGTTTGCCCTTCCATTCTTGTCAGCGTTTTGCTTTTGCTTATCCACTGCTTCGGCGATGGAATCTTGCACAAAACGGACTACCGTTTCACGAGCCAGTATGAACTCATCTGATGGCTCGTTAGCTTCAGTGTGCTGTGAGCGCACTGCAGCAACAACAACCTTTTCTTCAGTGAGGGCTTCCGCACTCTCACTGGGATCATTGTCTTCAGTGAGGGCTTCCGCACTCTCACTGGCATCATCTTCTTCGATATCGATGTTATCGATATCGGCATCAAACGCAATGACTTCTTCGTCAGAGCGTGATGAGCGTGAACCAAATCGGTTTTTGCTTGCGCGAGTCCCTCCCCCCTTAAACCAGAGTTACGCTGTAGTAAGGTGGGTACACGCGGATGGCGCAAGCCATTCACGTAAAACGGTGTATGTGTCGTGGACGCATGCACCGAGTTGTTGATGGCAAACTCTACCATTGGCAAAAACTCACTCCAACTCTGAAAGGAGTGTACGTATCCTCGAAGTATCTCTTCAAGGACACGATTGGCACGTTCCGTCTGACCATCTGACTCTGGATGATCAGATGTTGACATTTTCAAGCGCGTTCCGAGTGATTTGAACACGGAACGCCAGAAATCAGCAGTGAATCGTGGATCTCTGTCTGACACGAGTTCACGGGGCAACCCATGAAGTCGGAAGATGGTGTCAATAAAGACACAAGCACAGCCACTTGCCGTGATTGTCTCTGGTACAGCCACAAGGTGTACCATTTTGCTGAATCTGTCAACAAATACGAGAATACCCGTATTCCCGCGTGCGTCTTTGGGTAACCCTGAAGACGAAATCCATTGAGATGGATTCCCAGCACTCAGCCGGAACCGGTAGAGGCTGTAAAGGTGCACGCAGTGAAGGACTTGACTTCACTCGTTGACAGACTTCGCATGCGCGAACATACTTTCGCACAAACTGATACTGGCGGGGCCAGTAAAAGTCTCGACTTACCGTGAGATATGTTTTCTCTCGGCCACGATGTCCTCCTATAGGAGCATCGTGATACTCGAACATGATCCGCAAACGCAGATCAGTATCATTTGGAATGACAACACGTGGTGTGTCACCAGAAACGGCTGTATAATACAGTAAACCGTTACGAGTAGTGTATCGATCTGATGCAGATCGATACGCAGGCGACAATCGTTTCAACGATTCTCGGGATGGTTGGGAGAGATGTGTCAACAACTTCACAATCTCACCATCTTGGGCGCATGCCCGCCTCACATCATCATACAACGTTGTAGATGGGACTGAGGACGTCATAACCGCAACAGTGACTGTCTCACTGTTGGGTTTCGCGACTGTTTCAAAGTCGGGACGACGTGAGAGTGCATCAGCGACGACATTAAGTCGTCCTGGTTTGTACTCGACCGTAAAGTTGTATTCCGCAAAGAATGACAACCACCGCGCCATTCGTTGTGAAAGGTGCGGGCTGTTCACTGCCGTGCGTAATGACGCATGGCCAGTGTAAACAACGAAGGTTCTATCTCCTAATAGATAGACTATGAACTTCGCGAGTGCATACTTCATGGCAAGGAGTTCCTTGTCATGCACTGGATAGTTCCGCTCAGCTGGTTGCAGCTGACGCGACTGATAGCAGACGACGCGTTCAACGCCTTCAAGATCGTACTGCATTAATGCACAGCCGATTGCGAAATCGCTGGCATCACAGACCACATGAAATGGCCTGTCTTGATCGGCAATTGCTAGGACTGGGTTTGTATCAAGCTCTGCTTGATACCATCAAAGGAGCGTTGACATTCAGCGTTCCATAACCACCTCTCGTTCTTTTTCAACAAACGAGAGAGGTGCACAGTCATCTCGGCGTAATTGCGTGAATACTTATGCAAATACGCCGCTAGCCCAAGGAATTTTCGAAGACCTTTGACATCGACCGGCACAGGCCAGTCGGTGATCGCCTTGATCTTTTCGGGATCAGGACGTACACCGTTCCTACCAACGATGCACCCAAGAAGTGGTATTTCGCTTGCTGCAAATATACACTTCTTGAGGTTAGCATACAATTGATGCTTTCGCATGATTTTAAGAACCTGTCGGACGTGGTACCTGTGAACCTCAACGTCCGACTTTCCATCCATAGCTCGACTATGGATGAATACGTCATCGAAATAACTCGGCGCGAATTCTCGTACTGGTCTCAACAGATGTGATACACATCTGTTGAACGTGGCAGGGGCATTACTAAGCCCTTGTGGCATTACTAGCCATTCCCAGAGCATGCCGCTAGGCGTGCTAACTGCGGTATAGGGTATATCCCGTTCTCGCATAAGGATTTGATAGAAGCCATCCATCAAATCCATGGACGAAAAGATGGTACTCTTTGACATACCATCAATGATTACGTCCTTCCTCGGTATCGGCGTCTGAGCCGGTACCGTTGCAGCGTTCAATTTGTTGAACGCGTGCACTATCCGCCACCCTCCTGTTGCTTTTCGCACACAGAAGGTCGGAGAGCTATGTGGGGAAGTTGATTCCCTCACATGGCCCGCTGCTAAACGATCGGCAAAGAACTTGTCGATCGCAAGTACTTGTTCACGACGCAGTGGCCACTGCTTCATGACACAGTACTTCGAGCCTGGTTTAAGCTCGACTTCGTGTCGAATACCTTTATCCTTCGGTAATTCGCACGGAACAGTTTCAGGGAATACATCCTTGAATTCAACCAAATCTTCATAGAGAGGATATTTCTTGAGCGATTCCCATGATTGGGAGTCATATCGCTCAACTCGTGTCTTTTCATCTAGGACACTCTCGTCCATAGATGAACTACTGAGAACTCTCTCGTTCTCAGTGAACACTGTTGCTGACCTTATGTCGGTTACACACTCGTCGTCAGCGACGAGTATGCAGATCTGCTTGACTTTGCCACTACGCAGATCACGCAAGAACCTTTTATGTTCGAGCGTTGGCAACTGAGTGATCTCCGAAGTTAACTTCGGAGGCGCAATCAGATCAAGTGTATAAGCGCCTACACTTGATCCGTTATTGACTATGACATTCAATGTCTCTGTCATTTCCTGGGGACTTATTCCCTCAGGCTTCGAAGGACTTATTCCTTCGGCTTCCTGGGGACTTATTCCCTCGGGTTTCGGGAAACTTATTTTCACCGTATCTGTAATATCGGTACTTATTCCCTTAACTTCCTCTAGCTGGGGTTGCGCAACCACAGCGAGATCCTCTACGAAAGACTCTCCAGTCGATCTAGGATTATCGTTTCGCTTAACCTGAGCGATCGATTGTTTCTCTTCTAGATGTTCCCCGCTAGGGATACATCTTTGTCCCAGTCCACCCGACTTATTCGAGTGGTGGACCTTCGGCGCAGCCTGTGTTTCCTCACAGCCGCCGGAACTTTGCTCCGAAGTGTAACCGTTTGGTACACTAAGGTTTTGTGCAGTCTTACTAACGACCTTACCGCAAGTGAGGCCATCGCACTCACTCGTAGTACATCCACACGCTTGTGGACGCTCCAAAACGTTCATCAGATGGCCATCTGATGAACAAGCGGCAGGCATCGTTACTGTTCGATGTTGCCAGTTTACCCGTGGTTCGTACCTTCTGAGCCACGGTATTCCAAGGATGACATCAAATTTGTCATCCAAATCCAATACGATAAAGTCATCGTCATATTGGGTATCTTCTAGCGTATAGTGGATCTTCACTGTACGCTTCATGACGGTTACGGATGCGCCTGTCGCAAGACGTACCGTCATCCTCGTAGGAGGTGTGTCACATTCACTGAATTTAAAGTGACCATCTTCTAGCGATTGGCGTCGCACAAAATTGTTGGACGCCCCACAATCGACTAGAGCTCGAAGGGACAACTTATTTGTCACTTCGAGTTTCAAGGTAATGAGTGAGTCCTCATTACCTAGAGCAGTAACGCACAACGTTTTTGCGTTGGGAGCAACCTTCATCAAGAGGCCTACAAATTCTCTTGACGTTGCTGGACCAGTAGGGTGCTCCGCACCTACTGATCCTGTCCGTTTTTTGACGGTCCATCCTGTTGTTGCGTCTTTGCACCAACAGCGGACCCTCGTCCCTGCCCCTTTCTCATGGGTGGACGGTCACTACGCCCAGTGTCGCGAGACACTGGACGAGGGGCACTACACTCGTAAGCGTAGTGTCCTGTCTTTTGACATCTGTTGCATCTCTGCAACTTCTTGTAGCCTGTAGAGCGATCCTTCTCGCTCTCTACATAACAGAGTTCCATCGGCTCTGGACCTCCGCTGTCATATCGTCTCGGTTGACGATATGATGTCGAGCTGGCGCGAGCCTGTCTCAGACTGAAGTCTTCCTGCTCAGCAATGGAAATGGCTTGTTCTAGTGAATCTAGTTCAAGCCGGAACAGGTGAGTCTTGACGGGACCATCCGCAAGACCCTGCATGAACACCGAAACCAACGTGTGTTCATCCACAGGATTGGAACTTATACAACTCGTAAGATGTCGTATATGTTGGGCGTAAGCGTGCACATCACGCTTACCCTGTTTGAGCTTCAAGAGTTCGGTTCGAGCCCTGAACTCAGCTCTAGGCGGTTCAAACGTTTGTCTGAGCCGCGACTTGAAGACTTCCAACGACCCAAGCGCATATGGGTCGTGCAACTTGAGCCCCAGTGCCCAAGTCTTGGCACGTCCTGCCAGATTTGACTGGGCAAATGCAACTTGCATTTCCCCATCGTCGATGCGACGCGCCCTTATGGCGTCATCCAATTAGACGAACCATCTCAAGAGGGAGTCCTCTTTGACTCCCCTTTACTTGGAGATGTCAATCTTCAAGGTCTCGGGTCGACGCGAGTGCATCGACCCACCAGCAGCAGCCTGCTGCTGTCTCAACAGTTCAAACTGTTGAGCACCCTGTTCTCTCAACAACTCTGCTTGTTGAGAACCTTGTTGGTGAAGCAAGGCTACTTTCTCGCGTTCAGCGTCAAGTTCATTTTGAATGAACTTGGCGATAGTAGCATGTTGGGCATCTCTATTGAGAGCCTCTAGCATGACGCTAACAGCATGGATGCCCGTGGTCGAACCCATTCGTTCAACCGCATCCCATTCAACATCGCTCAAATGGGAGTAGCCGTCACGCGTAGCGTGAAAGCTTTGGTCATCTTCATCATCCAACATATTCATGTTGGATGTGAACGCGATCCTTGGACGGACTACGAAGTGCTACCAGGTGTAACGGGGCACCCTGAAGCTTGTACTGGTGACAGTACAAGCTACTTATTCTGATGACAGAATAAGGCGGTGCCTCGGAACTTCACGTACACTCGTACGTGCAGAGGAAGACGGTAAGAAGAAGCGAGTACTTGGTTAAAGTAAAAAGTAGAACTGTATTTATAATAGTTAATGTCTGCAATAAATCACTATTTATCTTCATCTAACTATGTCTAAATACAAATGTGTAAATCAGTTATCTGCTCACCACTCATTGCGTGCGTCTGTCGTGGCGCGTCTTCGTTGGTTGATATAATGGCCTATATCAACCAATTAGGAACTACTTGTAAGTGCTACAGAATATTTGTCCTTATGACAATATTCTGAGAATATAACTCTTATAGTTATATTCTATTAACAATTTCTTATAAATTGTTATGTAACGATTCACCCCGTTACAGTCTGTCCTGGTATGCAATCGCCGATACAGGCGATTGTATCAAGATTTACTTGATAGGCGATTGTATCAAGATTTACTTGATACCTTCGAAGGAGTGCTGACAATCAGCACTCGATGACCACCTCTCGTTTTTCTTTAGTCGACGAGAGAGATGTACGGTCATCTTGGCATAGTTGCGCGAGTACTTGTGCAAGTACGCCGCTAAGCCAAGGAACTTTCGAAGTCCCTTGACATCGACTGGCACAGACCAGTCGCTAATCGCCTGGATCTTTTCCGGATCAGGGCGTACACCGTTTTTACCCACGATGCAGCCAAGAAGTGGTATTTTGTTCGCTGCGAATTTTCACTCCTTGAGGTTCGCGAAGAAATTTTGCTCTCGCATTATTGCAAGAACCTTTCGGACGCGTATTCTATGAACCTCCACGTCCGTCTTTCCATCCATGGCCCGGCTATGGACGAAGACATCGTCGAAGTAACTCGGTGCGAAATCGCGCACCGATCGCAACAGATTCGTAACACATCTGTTGAACGTTGCAGGGGCGTTACTTAGCCCCTGTGGCATCACTAGCCACTCCCAGAGCATACCACTGGGAGTGCTCACTGCTTTGTACGGGACGTCCCGTTCACGCATGAGGATCTGATAGATTCCATCCATCAGATCCATGGATGAAAAGATGGTATTCTTTGGCATACAATCTACGACGACATCCTTTCTTGGGATCGGCGTAGGAGCCGGTACCGTTGCAGCATTCAACTTGCTAAATGCATGCACTATCCGCCACCCTCCTGTGGCCTTTCGCACACAGAAGGTCGGAGAGCTGTGTGGGGAAGTTGATTCCCTCACATGACTAGCCGCTAATCGTTCGGCAATGAATTTGTCGATCGCAAGTACTTGTTCACGATGCAGTGGTCACTGCTTCATGACACAGTACTTCGAACTGGTGTTCAGTTGAATCTCATGCCAAGTGCCTTTATCCTTAGGCAGCTCGCATGGCACGGATTCAGGGAAAACATCCCTGAATTCCACCAAATCCTTATGCAAAGGATTTGTCTTTAAAGACTCCCAAGATTGAGACGTGTATCGCTCAATCCGGGTCTTCTGATGGAGGACAATCTCATCCATCGATGAGCTACTGAGAACCCGTTCGATCTCAGTAAACACTTGTGCCGACCGAATATCGGCCACGTACTCGTCACAGAGGACGAGTACGCAGATCTGCTTGATCTTGTCACTGCGCAGATCTCGCAAGAATCTAAAAGATTCTTGCGTTGGCAACTTAATTATCTCCGAAGCTGACTTCGGAGGCGTAACCAGATCGAGTGTATGAGCGCCTACATTTGATCCGTCATTCACCAATACATTCACCGTCTCGGTGATTTCCTGGTAAAACACATCCGCAGATGGTTGGGGATCCACACCTTTAACATAACTCTCTTGGGAGTCATCACTCTCAGATCGTTTGAGCTTTCTTTCAATACGGTTACTGACTGTAGGTGTACTACCACATTTACTTCCACTTCGATCGAATTTCTTTCAGTCGATCGAGCTTGCTCTACGATCGACTTTCTGGTAGTCGATCTCGCTTCAACGTGTTGTTCATCCTGAACAACACTAATCTATTTTCTTGGATGCAACCTTCTTGATGTGCATCCGTGTTCCAGTCCACTCGATCTCTTCGAGTGGTGAACCTTCTGCGCAGCCTGTGTCTCTACACCGGAAGCTGGTTCCACAGTGCCGTGGCCTTCTACACTGTGATCTTGTGCAATCGTACTAACGACCGTACCAAAAGTGAGGCCATCGCACTCACTCGTAGTACGTCCACACGCTTGTGGACAATCCAAGATGTTCATCAGATGGCGATCCGATGAACAAACGGCAGGCATCTTCACGGATCGATGCTGCCAGCTGATCCATGTCTGGTATACTCTAAGCCATGGCAGACCGGGGATGACATCAAATTTGTCATCCAAATCAAGTACGAGTGAAGTCATCATCGTATTGTTTTCCTTCTAGCGTGTAGTGGATTCCCACTACACGTTTGTTCACTGTTACGGACGCGCCTGTAGCAAGGCACACCGTCATCCTCTTTGGAGGGAGCTCTCGCTCAACATAGTTGAGCCTACCATCCTCTAGCGACTGGAGTCGAATAAAACTGTTCGACGCCCCACAGTCAACTAGGGCGCGAAGTGACATTCCACTTGTCACTTCGATTTTCAAAGTGATGAGAGACTCCTCATCACTAGGGGCCGTAACACACAGCGACTGTGTGTTGGGAGCAATCTTCGTCAAGAGTCCTGCAAATTCTCTTGAAGTTGCAGGATCAGCAGGGTGCTCCGCCCCTACTGACCCTGACCGTTTTTTTACGGTCCGACTTGCTGTCGCGGCTTAGCGACATGGTTGGACTCGCGGCTTGGACTTTTCCTCGGCCAACGGCGGTCATCATGTCCTGTCTTTGGACTTGATGCGGTGCTTGGGATACTCCACTCATGCGCGTAGTGCCCAATCTTCTGACAGCGATGGCATCTTGCCGTTCGCTTGTGACTCAGAGAGCCAGAGTTCTCGCTCTCGATGTAACAGAGGTCCATTGGTTCGGGACCTCCTGTTTCCTGTCGTCTCGTCGGACGATATCTTGACGAGTTAGCCTGAGACTGTCTCAGGCTGAAGTCTTCTTGTTCCGCACACGCTATCGCCTTTTCTAGCGTATGGAAGTCCTCTCGGAACATGTAGGTCTTCACCGGTCCATCTATAAGAGCTTAGATGAACACGTTGATGAGCGTGTGCTCATCAACATGGTTTTCTGTAACGCTACTCGCAAGGTAGCGTAGCTGTTTGCGTAAGCGTGCACAACACGCTTACCTTGCTTTAGCCTCAAGAGTGCAGAGCGTGCTCTGGACTCGGCTCTTGGTGGCTCAAACGTCTCTTTGAGCCCAGACTTCAATACCTCCAACGACTAAACACGTTTGGGTCGTAAAGCTTGATCCCTAAGACCCAAATCTTTGCTCGTCCTGTCAGATTTACAGGGAAAAGGTGACTTGCATCTCGTCACCCTTGATGGACGACGGGCCCTGATGGCGTCGTCTAACTCGATGAACCATCTCAAAAGGGAATCTTCATCGGTTCCCTTGTACCTTGGGATATCAATCTTCAAGTTTTCGGGTAGACGCATGTGCATCGGCCTGCCCATCGACTGAGAGAGCCTCGCTGTTGTGTCAAGGCTATCTTCTGTAATTTGATGGCAAGTTCCCCTTGTAGGAACTTGTTGATAGCAGCATGTTGCTGGTTTCTGCTCAGAGGCTCCAACATACGCGGGATCGCCCATGAGCACACTCATGTGGCCGACTACCTCCCATTCTGAGTCACTCAGATGGAAGTAGCCTTTACGTGTGACGTGAAAGCCGTCGTCTTCTAAGTCTAACATGTTCATGTTGGACGGACACTAAGTAGTCTTTGTACGGACTACAAAGTGCTACCAGGTGTAACGGGGCTTTGTTTGGGGTGCCACGAAAGTTCGCGTACACTAGTACGTGCAGAGGAAGCTAATATACTTAAACGACCCGGTCAAGTAAAGTTAAAAAGAGAACCGTATTGAATATAGTGAAGCTATCAATGCAACTTCAGTCTTTATCTAACCATATTAATCTACGTCGTCGTATGACGACAACCTGCTCACTACTCATTGCGCGCGTCTAGCAGCGATTAGTGGCAATCTATGGTTAATGTGTCTTATATCAACCATCCTTGGAGCAGCGCATGAATATTATTCTACAAGAGGTTAATATTTCTTCAATATTATCTGTCTCGGATAAAATTGGTAGGGAATTGTCACGCTAGACAATCTCCCTATTGACACCGTTTGTTGTCAATATCATGTAACGGGCTACCCCTGGACACGACACGTCCCTGCGAGCACGTTAATGAGTGTAATTTAAGGTACAACGCGGGTCTAGAAGAATTAGAATGGACACATGTGCGAGAGCGTAAGTCCCCGCTTTACGGCCAAAGATTCGTTGTCAACAGACATGCGAGATTTTGCAAAAATACCGCCGGAACAACGGCTCACGGCCAGTGATAACGAGCGGCTCTTGAAGCCGTTCAAGGAAGCTGAGGTGATTTCTGCTATTTACGTTCGTTAGCGACACAAAGTGGCCGGTCAAGATGGTCTCAAAATATTTAATTTTACGAGGATACTGCAACGTTAATGGTTCCAGCACTGGTCATACTTAGCAAATACATTCTTCAAGGCGGTGATTTTTCTCCCTCACATCGAGCAGCCCTCATTATTCCGTCCATACAAAACGAGAATCGGATGAGGCCATGTAGTATCGGCCAATATCCTTGGTTCAAATGAGTTGCAAAGTGTTTGCCAAGGTGCTGGCCACGAGGGTGCAAACAGTATTACACCAGGCAATCAGCGACTCACAACAAGGTTTTGTTCACGGTCGCAGGATGACAAAGAGGTCATGATAATAATCGACCGACTTGCAACTGCGATAGGTACAGGTGATGTGAAAG